ATATATATATATATATATATATATATATATATATATATTAAGTAAAGCAATGATTACGTTTTGGATTTCATTTCAAAAAGATAAATTCTTTAGTAGGCCTAGTAGTAGCAGTAGTAGTAGTAGTTTTGATTCCATGTAAATAGAACATGATGAATTTCCTAAAACATTTATTTGCTTTGGAGTATTTGATACATATTCATCTGCACTCTAATGTTCCAGTCATTTGGACGCGGCGGCATAGTAAAAAGCGTGCTGTCTGAAAACAAAATCAGAGTCGAGGTGTCACGTGACGCATGGATATTCCACAGGGCGTTGCTCATTCAGGTGGCAAAATCAGGTGCGTATGCGATCCAGGAAAAGGTACTGTATCTAGTAAAGCTAGTCGAGGGAATAAATCGAGAAAGAAAACAACTCTAAGTTACTTTTTTTCAGCATACTTTCTATGTCAAATTTATTTATAAATTACTATGTCTTGTTGGATACCATGTTTGCTTTTAATCGGTTTGAACACATGTGCCTTTTTACAAGGCCAAATTTGGAGCTACTGCGATGCAATTAGGTTATGCTAATGAAATAACTGAGTTGAATTCAATAATTATATAACTGTTGTGTGAAGTAATCTTATGACAAAACGTGGCATTAATTATTCTTTCAGATGAACTGATGCATGCCATATTACGAAAGAAGTTCCGTCGAACATAACGTCATCGTCCGAAGCATTCGTATCGAGGAAAGTCTTAAAGTTCATGGACTAGTTTTAAAACTAGAGGCCTAGGTGTATTTTTCTCAATTTCATTTTTACAGTTTTCATAAACTCAATTGATACCTCTGGTTTATAGAATAGCCATCAAACAAAACAGCACCTACCGATCTTGTAATGTTCGCAAAACATCCTTTGTATTAATGAAAAAATAGTTCCTTTACCAACCATGTTTATAGAGATTCGCCGATCGTTGACCACCATATTAAATTTCCTTGATTTAGCCTACAATTACGTTTATAATAGTGCATGGATTCTTTCATTACTCAAAACTCATGGCTGTGCAATCGTTATATGAAATGTTTTAAAATTGCCTGAGGGATGTGGCAAATTGTAGTATCAGCTAACTCACATTTGTGCTTGTCGAATAATGATTTTATAGAATCCAGAAGCATGTTTGTACAGGTCCATGTGTTTTTATTATACCTTGTGTGTTTTGTATGAACCAGGTGGATGGCCTACCTGGGAAATGCAAGGAGAATTTCCATGAGGAATCGGAGCGCTTAACACCCCATTTCCATAGATTAGATCGACCTACTTTGGATCGACCTAACTCCCTGGGGGTTCGCGCTGAATAGCTGTCAGCCGGGCGGACACGAAAGTTAATTGCACCTTACGGCTTGTAGTGGGCGGGGACGGACACTTAAGGGGGATTATCTGACGGTAGTCTGGTGAGACTCCCCGCGGTGATAGATCGATCTAAAGTTGTGGGAATAGACCCTAAGAGCATCATCACGTTATTCTGCGGTTATTTTCAGTAAATATCATATACTAATATTTGAATCCAATGTGTCAGCACAGAGACAAATGTACGTGTACATGAAATGCTTCAAAGCCGATGCTCTCATCATCTCTGTATGTCTGTGTGTCACTTTTTTACACCTACTCAAAGGTCTGCAGTTATGATACACGAACACTTTATCATAATGCATGTACGTTTTAAGGTCGGTACACAAATAAATGAATTAGAAAGAAAAAGGCATACGTTTGAACGTTGTTATATTGGTACGGGAAAATGTAATGAATGGAGAAACCGAAAAGAGAACGAGAAACTCTTGCAAAGACACCAAGGATGTATTTTGTCCAACCGTGTTTAGTATTGCTTCCCCTTCTTTTAGTTGGGGGCTTCCTGAGAAATTACTCGTAATTACGCTTGAAATGCGTCCACGACATAAATTAATGAATAAAAACGACTAGCGTTCAAAATGTTAACAGATTGAAAACTTATGTATTTTTGATCATTCATGGCGCGTTTACATTGAGCTCTCGTGACCTGCACGATATCGCGGTGTGTGTGTGCGTGTGTGTGTTCTGTGCTTTCAATACACGTTCAATTCGCGTGTGAATTACTTATAAACTCATTGTGATCTTCCCATAGGTTATCTATTAAAATATTACGTCGCTGAGATTAACTGAAATTACCTTTCGAGAAGTGTATATAGGCCTACTGGTACAGGCCCGTAGCCAGCCGTTTCAAATGGATCTTATTTCCAAGAAACCTTCGTCTATCTCGTTCAAATTTTCTGGCAAAACGGGCGGTTCGTTCGAACCTTCTGACCTCCCTCACCACCACCACCCCGACTACGGGCCTGAGTTCCACTACATGCAGTACTGGTAGGTCTGCATACATGTAAAACTGGGGTCTTTTGTAAGCTAGCCGTTGTACAGATAGATGTTTTTGTACCATTTGTGCCATTGCATATAACGTATCATTAAACTGGTATGGTCTGTCATTTGGTTTAAAATCCCTGTATAAGTGAATGTGCGTACATAATCCCTGCGTCCACCCGTACAACTCGATCGTTCTACACAAACTTAGATGTCCTCACGGAGATCATAGTCCTTTTCTTCCCTGGGGGAATGTGGGCTATCGGCGTACTCGTTGTTTTCAGATCCATTATCAGCTGAAAAAAAAGAAACCACTTTTTTTGATTTTGCCGGAAACCATCCTCCAGGAGAAATCTTTCCTGATATATTTACATTAGGGTAGGTTTATATCCCAACGTCATCTGGTGGATAAAGTTTTTAAATCTGCCAGGGAGACTAAATTGCACTTAAATCATGTACAAATCAATTATACTATTGTACTATTATACTATTATTTTATATTGTAATATTATACTATTGTAATAAAATCATGGAAATGCTCAGTAATACGCATTTTGCCATACATGTTCTAATAAAAAAGCAGCAACATGTAATAACCCAAATACTTTTACACTACATTCTGGTGAATACTTCTCATTTTATTAGCAATCAAATGGCACTAATAGCGATTGTTTTAAGGCAAGTCGCATGCATACACATGTACCTGTAAATATATATGTGAATAATTAATTTTCTTGTGTGTATCGCTATAAAAAGCTACTATTAAATGCGTTGATAAATGTTTCCTTGCATTNACTCCTCATTATAACTTCTTGGGTAGATCAACCCCCCCGTCCCTATTCATGGGTGGCTGATCTACCTGACATTTATAAGAGGGTCCTGGCCGCTATACCACCTAGCGGTCAGTGAGTGTGAACAACTACTCACGTCAGTCTGATGAAGGCCTTCGACCAGGTTGGCCGTAAGCTAACGGTACGGAAAATTTTAGGCTTGTGTCTGAGAATTTTCATGTTTAACTCTAAGTTACTTTTTTCAGCATATGGCTACTTTCTATGTCAAATTTATTTATAAATAACTATGTCTTGTTGGATACCATGTTTGCTTTTAATCGGTTTGAACCCATGTGCCTTTTTACAACGCAAAATTTGGAGCTACTGCGATGCAATGAGGTTATGCTAATAAAATAACTGAGTTGAATTCAATAATTTTTGCTTGTTATATAACTGTTGTGTGAAGTAATCTTATGACAAAACGTGGCATTAATAATTCTTTCAGATGAACTGATGCATGCCATATTACGAAAGAAGTTCCGTCGAACATAACGTCAGCGTTTGAAGCATTCGTATCGAGGACAGTCTTAAAGTGCTTGGGATAGTTTACAAACTGGAGGCCTAGGTGTATTTTTCTCAATATCATTTTGACACTTTTCATAAAATCAATTGATACATCTGGTATATAGAATAGCCATCAAACAAAACAGCACCCACCGATCTTGTAATGTTCGCAAAGCATCCTTTGTATTAATGAAAAAATAGTTCCTTTACCAACAATGTTTATGGAGATTCGCCGATCGTTGACTACCATATTAATTTTTCCTGGATTTAGCCTACAATTACGTTTATAATAGTGCATGGATCCTTTCATTACTCAAAACACATGGCTGTGCAATCGTTATATGAAGTGTTTTAAAATTGCCTGAGGGATGTGGCAATTTGTAGTATCAAATAACTCACATTTGTGCTTGTGCTTGTCGAATAATGATTTTATAGAATCCAGAAGCATGTTTGTACAGGTCCATGTGTTTTCATTTTACCTTGTATGTGTGTGGTATATTAAGCATGTTAATGCCCTATCGGGAGAATTCAAGGAGAATTTCTACGAGGAATCGGGACGCTTAGGAGCATTGTCATGTTATTCTGTGGATATTTTTTAGTAAATATCATAAAAATGATAATTGAATATATATTTGTGTACCATGTGTCAGCACAGAGACAAATGTGCGTGGAAATGAAATGCTTCAAAGCCGATGCTCTCATCATCTCTGTGTGTCTGTCACTTTTTTACACCTACTCAAAGGTCTGCAGTTATGATACACGAATACTTTATCATAATGCATGTACGTTATAAGGTCGGTACACAAATAAATGAATTAGAAAGAAAAAAGCAGACGTTTGTAGGTTGTTATATTGGTACAGGGACATGTAATGAATGGAGAAATTGAAAAGAGAACGAGAAACTCTTGCAAAGACACCAAGGATACATTTTGTGCAACCGTGTTTAGCATTGCTTCCCCTTATTTTAGTTGGGGGCTTCCTGAGAAAATATTTGACTCGTAATTACGCCCTGAAATGCGTCCACGACAAAAATTAATGAATAAACAAACGAATGAATGAAAACGACTAGTGTTCAAAATGATAACAGATTGAAACACAGGAATAGGAAGACCTTTATATTTTTGATCATTTATGGTGCGTTTATATTAAGCTCTCGTGACCTGCACGATATCGCGGTGTGTGTGCGTGTGTGTGTGTGTTCTGTGCTTTCAATACACGTTCAATTCGCGGGTGAATTACTTACGGTTATTTACGGAAAATATTACGTCTCTGAGATTAACTGAAATTACCTTTTGAGAAGTGTATATAGAGAGAAGTGTATATTTTTTTCTGAAAAAAGTGGACCTTCGTCTATCTCGCTCAAATTTTCGAACCCCCTCACTCCCCCACCCCTGATTCCTCCCGGCTTCGGGCCTGAGTTCCACTACATACAGTGCTGGTAGGTCTACATACGTGCAAAACTGGGGACTTTTGTAAGCTAGCCGTTGTACAGATAGATATTTTTGTACCATTTGTGCCATTGTATCCAGCGTATCATTGAACTGATATGGTAAGTCATTTGGTTAAAAATCCCTGTATAAGTGTATGTGCGTACATAACTCCTAAGTCTACCCGTACAACTCGTTATACACAAACTTAGATGTCCTCACGGATATCATAGTCCTCTTCTCCCCTGGAGGAATGTGGGCTATCGGCGTACTCGTTGCTTTCAGATCCATTATCAGCTGAAAAAAAGAAACCACTTTGATTTTGTCGGAAACCATCCTCCAGGAGAAATCTTTCCTGATATATTTACATCAGGGGAGGTTTATATCCCAACGCCATCTGGTGGATAAAGTTTTTAAGTTTGCCAGGGAGACTAAATTGCACTTAAATCATGCACAAATCAATACTATATACATTATACTAATGTAATAAAATCATGGAAATGCTCAGTAATACGCATTTTGCCATACATGTTCTAATAAAAAAGCAACGACATGTAACCCAAATACTTTAACACTACATTCTGGTGAATACCGCTCTTTTTATTAGCAATCAAATGGCACTCATAGCGACTGTTTTAAGGCAAGTCTTAAACTGTGGAAAGCAATCAAGTCTTCAGCCATTTTTCTGAATTTTGGATTCTCTCTCTCACACAAACTCGCGCGCACACACACAGACGTAAACTTATATACGCTGGTATGTATATACACAGGTACATGTAAATATGTGAATAATTAATTTTCTTGTGTGTATCGCTATTAAAATCTACTCATAAATGCGTTGATAAATATTTCCTTGCATTAGCTTATTGGATGTACTTGTGTACCTTATATTTTAGTGCACTTATATTAATAACTGCTAAACTTCCTACCGGTTTTCGGACTTGTTTGGCTCTCTCCACTGCTTGTGCTGGGAGGACCGCCGTTCAGGGCATTCCTCAGTTCTTCTTCGTCAAGAGTTCCATCAGAAACATTGGACACACCTAAAATGCGTAGGGGTAATTCACTCTCCATCAGTGCATCTCTTGTAAAAACATTCCATTTTCTATACAGACAGTATCAGGCCTACCCAACTACCAGACTCGGCACCTAAGGATCCTGAATTAACCGGTATATCGGACCACACTACCCGTTTTCAAGGTGTGTGTCAGATCGCATTTCGGAGTATCAGCCAGAACACCGACAGGATAAGCCCTGGCATGCTCGGCTGTCACCTTGATTGGATAGTGAACGATTGTCGTAAAATCCCTATATGATTTTAAAACCGGGTGCATAAATTTGAAAGCCACCTAGATGAACCTTAGACTGCCACATTAATCTAATACAATGCAAAAAAGCCCTATCAAAAGTGGTTCAAACATTCAAACCGAATGTCGTAAAGTCCCCATATATCCCCATAGAGACAATGAAATAGAGTACTCTAAAGTAAGAGTACAGTTTAAGGTTGTTCAGCCGAGCGTGGATGAGCCCGCAGTCGTGCTACGAAATTCGTTCTGGGGTATGATACTCCGAAATGCGATCTGACACACACCTTGAAAACGGGTAGCGTGGTCCGATATACAGGTTAATTCAGGATCCTTAGGTGCCGAGTCTGGTAGTTGGGTAGGCCTGAGTATGTAGCTAAAGGGCGAATCAAACAGCTTACTCAAGTACTTAAATACCTGGCTTCTCGTACTTTCCTTTCTTGCAGAACAGTGGCATCAATGAATCGCCGAAATTTGACGGGACGGTTTTAGCCTTGCAAGGTTTGAAGATTTGATTATGGTCTTAGCTTACGGATTTGGTCAATTGAAAGCAAGGTTTTGGTTTATATTTAAGTCGGACTAATGTTATGTACGTAAAATCCATGCATTCAGTTTTGATAATACAGCACCAGATGGACAAGCACATGGAGACTCCAGCGTAGATTTGAATAAACATTTTGATCTTGCCTATAAACAAACAGACAGAGACCTGTACAACCAGTAATCTCACAGATTTAAGACCAACTATCAGTCTTTGCATTGACTCTCTTCCATCACCCCCCTAAATACCTCTACTGCGTTTTAACTCTCGACTTATTTTCTGACGCGGCCAGTCTCGGAGGAAAACCAAACTACTGGAAAAACCATCATAGTCTACGCATGCGCATCTGATTCCTCTTCTCAGCCTCTCAACTTGGAATCATTGCGTCCATGCAGAAAGCCGTTTTGGATGCGTAAATCGGTTATGGTGGCTTTATCGTACCCTCTACCAGGGCGAGTGATAGATTTTTTTACAGATATTCACAGATATGTCTCTAGCTAGATAGATGAGAAATCCCATGTGGAAACAATTATCTCTGCGCGCCAAAGGCTTTGTACTTGCTCTGCATGAGCTGAGCTTCACAACGATGTGATAACTGCTCGCTACGCAACCAGTCTAAGGTTTTTTTAATCTGTCACAGAAGAGCAAGTGATTGAGGTCAGAGTAATTAACTGTCTTGATTGCTGTCACGCAGACTTAGACTGGACCTGCTAAGTGGCAGTGCCTGAGCAGTTATGCAAACAATTATCAGCCATGTAATCAGCCTTGAGATTTCTCAACAGGGTGAGCTGAGCCCTAAATGACCATCTATCTAGATAGAGACATATCTGTGAATATCTGTAAAAAATCTATCACTCGCCCTGGTAGAGGGTAGCTTTATCGTTGATGTTTAACTCATTTCTAAAATATATATTTTTCTACCTGAATCCCCAGAACGTCTATTTCCTCCTGACGCAAGAGTTTTGACATCTGTCTGATTGGGATCTACAAACATGAATAAAAAAGCATGCGTTAGCATGACCGATGCAACTACAAGTTGAAAGAAACTGCTTTTTCGTATCATCGAACCGACCTATAATCAGTACTTTTAAAAAAGTAGTACTCTGTATGGTTATCACAAAATGAATAAAAACGGTCATATACCGAATGTTTCGTGAAATATGTAAACACGATTTGTCCCAGCACCTTAGAGTATTTTTGTTTCTTAATATGGAGATGTAAATTATTGCAAAAAATAATCCCACGAATTAAAACTTGTTACTATAACGTCATCAATTTTTGTCCATCAAAACAATTTAATTGAAATACGTTTACAAATCTGAGTAATATATTCTGGTCGGTCGGAGCGAATGTCCTTGCCCTCTTTTGCGGCAGCATGCTTGAATTATTGGTACATTGTAGTATTTTTAGTATCGGTTCATTTTTGCACTTATGGAAATCAAAATCTCTAAACAGCGTTTATAAAATTATTATGGATGAATGTCAATGAATTACATGTACCAAAAACAGTCACATATACACGAGTATAAAGTATATTGTTCCCTTTAATGACGGCGTTCTATATTACATGTTTACTCACCCGATGCACCGGTTACTGAGTGAGTATCAGGCGCATTATTTTCATCTTCAGAGTGAAACGGTTGCTCAGTTTCAGAGCCAGAAACTTCCGACACAACATTTCCGGCTTCAGAGTAAGATGTTTGCGCATCTCCAAACTCCGAACCTTCGGACACGTCATCTTCGACTCCAAGCAGTTGTGCAGTGTCCGAGTCAGCCCCATAATTAGTACTGCGGTTACCATCTGGAAGAAGTGGTGCTGCCTGTGGGGTTGGAGGGAGTTTTCTTCTTCCTAATGATATCCAAATGACACCTTCATTTAACAACTTCTCAGAATTTTCAGTCCATAAAGCTTTGAATGAAGTACACGCTAATAATTTCCCGTTAATATGCACATGCATTTATATGTGTGTAGACCACTCCTGTGGACCTTGGATTATGCAAAGTTTCGTTCGTCCACGTGTGGGGTAAAAACTGTTTTAGACATCAACGCAATTACAGTATATAATTACCAAAATCATAACCCCATTTCGATGTAGCCGTCGACAAATTTGTAGGCTACATCTATTATGCTTTCGCTACAAAAGTCGCAAATGATGTAAAATCACCATTTTCAGATCGTTGGATTTATTGATCAAAGATACTGTACATGTTCTATACCTACCTGCCCGAATGAAACCGACTATAGTCACTACCAGTAGAGCAATTGCCCCTACACCTAAATGGAAAAAAAGACATTGAGAAAAAATTCTATAAAACTTGCCAGTATCTGCAGAGAAAGAAAGAGGGAGATAAAGAGAAAAGGAACGGGAAAGACGTTCAATTATCCTACCCAGATAACTTTCCCTTTAATCAGTGGTTCTTAAACATAGAAATATAGTGTGCCATTGGTTTGCCACGATTTAATTCATAATATTTTTGTAGTATTTCAACTTCTATTTTCAGTTTAAAATATCCAGTGTCCTTTTTTCAAGTAATGAAGTCACAACTGCTAAAATACATTTTATGGGATGTGAAAAGTATAAGGTATCCACCCACTGCACCCAGAATTTCACCTGACATTAGATTAATGTCAAGTGAAGTGAGACTTGAAAATGATATTGACAGTAATATTAATAATCAAGGATATTCACAGGTTATATATTTGGAATTAGCACATGTAAATAATACTTAAATTGGCGGGTGCAGCAGACATGATTTGTCATTCGTGCTTGTTTCAGTTTTTCTGTTGTACATGAGGGGTACTTTAAACAAAAATGCGTGTTTCACTAATATATATATACCTCCAACAGCCAACCACCACCACTGAAACTGATGTCCAGCCGGAGAAGGCTCATCTTCAACTACCAGATTGGCAGAGGACGCTACTTTACCATACTTTCCCTCCCACGTTACCCTATAGACGCCCGCGTCGTCTTTGGATACGTTATATATGGTAATCGTACCTAAAATAGTCCAAAGTTATGAAATTCGCTTCGTATATATATATATATATATATATATATATATATATAATGTTATCATTTATAAGAAATTGAGTGCGAGAATCGCCTTCCTGACATAAAGACGCATTAAAAAAAATAACAACAACAACAATAATAATAATGGGTGGGGTGTTAAATAAAAATGTATTCAGTAGCCTTCCCGATGCAAAAGTTAAAGAAAATCATAAAAAATATTTTGATATTACATATGCATGTACAGGGGGTGACAGAAGTACTGCAACAGTTTGTTTTAAGGTGAACACCGGCTGGGTTTGTAAAGTTATCCAATTAGTATTTCATTGAAAACTGGTTAGGTTAGTAAGTATCTTTACTACAGGTTTACAGGCCAATGTATTGTCCTTACATAACGCATGTTATTATGTCATCCCCCCTCCCCTTAGAGAAACAATTTCTTCATTTGTGAGCTCCCGCACCTTCACAGTGATTTAAACTTGACAACCAGGGCTCCGTATCTCGAAAAGTTCGCTATGTTGTGCATGTGCGTTAGTGTCTCGATTCCATAACCGATTCTATTTCGAGATACGGGGCCATGGAATCGAGACACTAACGTACGTGCGCAACATAGCGAACCTTTCGAGATACGGAGCCCAGAAAGGCGTTACACCTTCCATGGCACCCTTCATAGTGCACCTTCATAGTATTGCTGTAATGCGTGCACATAGTGCACGCATTACAGCAATACTTTTGTCACCCCACCCCCTTGTACATTTTTTAAATATTTTATTTGACGAATAGTTAAATAAACGTTTTAAAAAGATATCTGGTATACTTACCATTATCATCCATATCAATATGTGGCGATGAGGCCATGAACAAACCATCGTGCCACCATTCAGGGGTTGGTTCCGGGTATCCCTCGGCATACGAGTCAAAAGACACCGTCTCACCAACCCTTACAGTGTGGTTGACAGGGGACTTGTCTAACTTGATAGTTTTCTGTGCTGCAAAAAGAAACAGTTGAGACCAATGCCGTTGCTTGTAATGCCATCAAAGACGATGAAAAACGAGAAAAAAAGTGAGAACACTCATATGTATATGCAAGATAGTTTTGGACAAATAATAATAATAATAATAATAATAATAATAATAATAATAATAATATATTCTAGACTATAAGTAACACAAATCTACACTTATGTGTATGGAAATTTACACATCACACATCTTTAAACTGAGAGAGAGAGAGTGAGAGAGAGAATAGAAAAATACGCACGCCTAACATTAAGTTTCAACTCTATAGAATTATGATTCAAGCATTGCGGATGGTGCACAGAACAAGTCCATCTGTCCTCGTCAATCTCTTTCACAGCTCTAATAACGTGGCTTATGCGGCATGGCAAAGTCTTGTTACTTGGGCAGTCTTGCCGCAGAGGGGAGCAGGGCTGTCTGCAGCTGGCGTACGACAAGTACAACGAGCTACCACTGTCAGCCTGGCCAGATAAATTGCAAAAAATCCTTAAATTGCCAAAATATCTGTTGGATCCATCAGGTGGTGCCAGAGGAACCGCAATTCTTTTTCGAAAAATGCAATGGTATATGTATTTTATAGACTTACCAGTATGATTCTCAACTTTTGTAGTGACACAGCCTCTCAAAAATGAACAATAGATAATAAAGCAAATATTACGTATGAAATAAAACTTAATTTTGACAGGAAAGTTGTGTATTGATGAAACTTCCGGGTGTTTGTGAATTTCTTTTTACCTTATTTATATTAACTGAGCAGGTCATATGACATTGGTATTCTGGATGTCAGATATTTCCATGCGTCCACTCTTGCAAAAAAAGTCAATTTCGAAATTTTAGATCCATACAACTCACGCCTACTTTACCTTTGAGGTTTTTCCTAGCTTACCGTGTAGTTCACCGTGCAGACAAGAGTAACATTCTCTCCCACGACGGCGTCGTATTTCCATGCACAATACCTTTCTCTGCAGTGCGGGCTAACAAAGACCGGTTGGTCGAAGTCACAGCCCTCCTCGCCAACTGGAATAAATTCGTAATGAGTACGGTGCTCCAGATACAAGTAGTATCAACTATTATACAGTATCTGGGGTAGTGCTATGAATTGTTTTGCTTTAGCCAAATTTCTCTTGGACAATTCATTTTTTTTTTTTAGCCAAACGAAAACTTAATTAGTCAAATTACAAATGATGAAGTCAGGCTAATAACTTTACTTTCTTGTAAAATATATTTCTGTTACTATAGTTGAAATTGTTACAAATAGCATCAAATTGTAAAAAAAAAAAGATAAACTTGTAAATAAACGACCTCAACAAATGCAAGTGTCGAGTAAAAGTTTCGTGTTCCATACCAGGAAGTTCAGTGCCCCAGTGTGATACTTTATTGTACACCGTATACTGTAGGAGTTATCCCCCCAAATCGCATTTCCCTCAAGAACATAAGTAATTTTCACCTACGTGCAAATCATTTTTGACCCCAACCTGCACTTGAATTCGATTTTAATACCATTTTTATTTATATTAAATATTTTAATTTTTGAGTGCCTGGCTGGACGCAAATACCACCACGTCCTCCTGAACACTCCAGATGTTCTTATCGACAGGACTGGATAAATGCCATAAAAATGTTGTCATTTTCATGATAAGATATACAATTTGGGATCAGCAATATCGCCTGTAAAAGTGCCCTGTAAATTGTAATATTCATTTTATTGTATTTTATTCATTTTTACAGTAGTAATAATAACTATACATTTATTTATTCTTTGTTCATTTCCAAAATGTGTGTGTGTGTGTGTGTGTGTGTGTGTGTGTGCTTCTATATTAATTACCTCCGCCAAGGAGGTTATGTTTTCACCCCTGTTTGTTTGTCTGTTTGTCTGTCATCAACATAACTCAAAATGTCATGGACTGATTTAATGAAATTTTCAGGAACTGTCAGAAGTGGGGTAGGGAAGAGATGATTAGTTTTTGGTGGTGATTCGGATCAATAATCAATCAATAATCAATAATAATAAAAAAATTGCTGCCTTGGCGGAGGTCTGCTCTCTCGGAGTGCTTTTCTAGCTTTCATTGATTTTATTTTTTATCAACATGGGGAGCTTAATAAAGAATTTTTAAAGTGTCATTTCTGTCATTCTGCAGAAGTTCTATTTCTGTACAGAACATGGACTTTTGTCTCCCATGCATGTTATTTGTCAACTAAAACACGATTTAAATGATTACATTTGATAACGAAAAGCCCTACAGAGATGACATACTCATTTCGACATGTCGGTTATCGATGTAAAGATAATGCAATAACACCCTGGTAGTTGTTAAACAGCTCCCAATATAACCGCAAATCAAAATTTAATTTTTTTTTGAAAACTGCGGCAGAACTTTATAAAACATTTTTGACCACTTAATGTAAGTTCAATTACATGAAGAGACACTCTGTTCTTCGTACATTAAGATAAATATTCACAAATTTTAACCGAGTTTCAAGTTTTATTTGAAATTATCGCACCTTATTACAGTGGTCATATAGTGTATAATAACAGTCACGAGCACTGGTCTATTGAAACAAGTAAGTCGATTCTTGGAAGGTCGATAAATAGATGCCGAGTGCACTTTGTATTTCAGATAGCGTTTCATAATTACCAAGCACGAGAAGGCGTTGAACATTAACCAGTAAAAGTAATTCACAGGTAGTCAGACTCACTAGCGCATGATCTACTCAAACTGATAACTCTGTTCTTGGAAAGGTCATCTCAGCCACCATGAACGAAACAATCACCCTGAAGTTCAAAGTGTTGATTGTGACTATTTGATACCAAGCATAGGTTTATCTTTGTACAGCGCAGGTGCAGGTGCGACAGGAATGGTGGTTTAAGGAATAGAACCCCAGGGTCCCAGAAGATTACTGGGGTAATACTGGCTAGGACTCAAAGTGCCCTAGGTTTCCCATTACATTGGACAGGAACCCTAACCAGTACCTAGGATTGAAGATCTATATTTTGGGTCCTACGGAAAACGGACTCCAGTTCCCAACGGACAACCATCCCTGCCATACCGGTTAAAGGGTTACAAACTGTTCATTTTGGCCAAAAAATGAATTTTTCTGGGGTAAATAGCAATTTTCACATACTTACCAATGGTCAATGAATCCATTACTACATTCAAAGTTAGACCCTGTTTTTTTCTAAAATTTTTTTTTTTTTTTTGTAATAATCTCTTAAGATTTTATAACAGTGCTCGTGACTGTCATTATTCACTTTATGACCACTGTAATGAGGTGCGATAATTTAAACTCGTAAGAGATTATTACATAGTATAGCTTTACCAGTATAGCTATGGAGGTCACATGGTCGGATGGCAAGCACATATTTCAGATTAATTACTATTGCTGTCGTTTTTGTGGCAAAATAGAATATATTATATTTCTATGAGTTGTTTACAATGCATTTATAGTGAAATATAGATCTCATATGAAGAGTTGTTATCCCTTCAAGTTTCTTTCCGACTTTAAAACTCACAGGCTGAAAATGCTGCAAATGCTGTGGCTGGTCGCGCTGTGTGTATTGCCGTACCGGCACCTCTATATAAAGATGGGCCCACTTAGTGCTCACTATTGCTCTATGTAGATCAATCCAACTCAACGTAATGTTTGCATGTAAAATTGGTATCCAAGTTCTTAGGGAGGTTAAATTATTATTATTTTTTTTATTTTTATTTATTTATTTTTGTGTGTGTGTGTGTGTGTGTGTGTGTGTGTGTGTGTGTGTGAAAAAGGGGCCTGGTTTTAGCTCCTTTTTAAAGAAGCTAATGCACCCTTATACCGGCAGTACACAGTAAATGAGCGTTAACTACAACTGATGGATTTCACTACTGTTATTTCACTAGGACGTTCTTACCTGTATGACTCCGACCAATACAGAACGCCAAAAGAATTGCACATCCGTAAACCGAAGCCCTCGTCATGGCAACATCAGGTAGAAACTGCAAGTTGTCAGAACAGTCAAGAGAAGGCTGCATACGTAGACACTTTATCAAATCACATGTTAATGAATAACAGAAAGAAAGATAATACGCGACATATTGTTTATATGTAACTTATTGATAAATTTATCAATTTTGGATTGCGGGGAAATACCCTTTTATCAGGGCCAGTAGCTTTCATTATTATTTGTATAATTTTTTATTACACAACCAAAACTTTAGTAAAAGCCAAAGCAGAGGATCACACCTTGCTGTCGGAGATCCTGGCGGACCTGCCCTTTGCCCATAAGGGTTAAATATCGTCAATTTTCTAATTATCATACATAATATTTGTTGTAATTTACCTCGTAAACATTCATTGAATTTGGTTGTCTAAGAAAAGGTACTGTTTCATCCAAAGCTTGTGAAAATATCGAAATATAATTTAAATTAAATTTTCACATCAAAAACAACATTTGGATACGGAGGCCATATTTAATGCATAATGCAACTTCAATGGGCATTTCATTTTCTCTACGACCTCTCTTATAACACTAATACATAGATAGCAAAAGCAGACATGTACGTAAATGCAAAGATAATGTTAATGTGATAATCATTATCTCCCTGTGTACTGTTAATTATCTCCAACAAGGATGCACCAGAAGCTATTGACATGCTATATATGTTATCCATGCTAAATTCGTTGAACCACTTTCCGCCTCTCATCAAGTCCGTGTTACACCGGAAACCCTGAATTTTGGCCCACTCTTGCAAATATGCAACGAAAGAGAAGACTGTTAAGGCTATAGTTAAGAATTCATAAACAGTGTGATCCTGACGTTGATTGCCATGTATTGGCAAAGCTTCAACTGTCAAGGGGGTAAGAGTGAGCCAAAATTTCTTCTCCAATTAAGCAGTCGCAAATATTACAGGATCGTGAGCATTATTCATGGTGTAAATTTACATAATCTCAACTTAATAATTAGCTAGAAAGATACGCACAAAAATAAATAAAGAAATAAATCGTGGGCATTACCCATCCCAAGCTAATTAACTCGCAAGAAATATCTATAAAACACTGCATAAAAACCACGACTGCCATTTAAAGATCGAGATTAAGTAAGACCGCGAAAAGAAAAGATGAGCTGGATGTTTTACTTTGCAGTGATCCTAGCAGAGGCGCTCGTCGAAAACGCAGGTATTGGTCTTACAGCTGTAATAAATCAGCTCTTATTTCACTTTCGTTAGAGACATTTATGGGCGGCGGTTTATACAAAAATGCAAAACACGATTAGTCGTCATCGTTATCAGATCAGTCGAAATGAAAACACGATTAGTCGTCGTCGTTATCAGATCAGAAGGCAAAATACGACTAGTAGTCGTCAAAACGCAACTAGTCATCAAAACGCAACTAGTCATCATCAAAACGCAACTTGTCATCATCAAAACGCAACTAGTCATCATCAAAACGCAACTTGTCATCAAAACGCGATTTGACGCCAGATGGCGCCCATTGTACGAAAATCTAGGCCAAGTCACATGATCCACAGTGATCAAAATGGCGGACGTTATTGAAGCAGCATTATCATATTCCTCGCTCGAACTCGAGAATTATCTCGAGTTCGAGATATTATTATATATATAATATCATTATTAGATTGTACGCGTAGAGATAATTCTCGAAATAATAAATAATTAAATAATTTATTAAATAATTTGGACATGTTATAAATTAAAAAAAAAAAAAAAAACACACTTGTGAAGCACTGCTTTATTGTTGTACTCATTTCACAAGTTCCAGATATTATTATATATATAATATCATTATTAGATTGTACGCGTAGAGATAATTCTCGAGTTCGAGCGAGGAATATGATAATGCTGCTTCAATAACGTCCGCCATTTTGATCACTGTGGATCATGTGACTTGGCCTAGATTTTCGTACAATGGGCGCCATCTGGCGTCAAATCGCGTTTTGATGACAAGTTGCGTTTTGATGATGACTAGTTGCGTTTTGATGATGACAAGTTGCGTTTTGATGATGACTAGTTGCGTTTTGATGACTAGTTGCGTTTTGACGACTACTAGTCGTATTTTGCCTTCTGATCTGATAACGACGACGACTGATCGTGTTTTCATTTCGACTGATCTGATAACGATGACGACTAATCGTGTTTTGCATTTTTGTATAAACCGCCGCCCATAGACATTGGTAAAATTTAAATCTTCTGTGGCGTCAGTCGCGATCGAAAATTCAAAGTGACCAGTCAAAGTGATCTTTGAGGTCATAAATCTTTATATTTTTCCTTAAATGGCTCAACCTTCATTGGTAATTTCTGTTCGTTATTAGTGTGTTGATTCACTTTGCTTAATTTTAACCGTGACCCGAGAATGCCTAGAATTTATGTATGACAGTCAATGTGGCACATTATTATTCGGTAATCTGACACCTTTTTGTAGTCGCGCAAAGCTCCAAGAGTTTTTGCGAAAAGTATGGGACTGTTTTCTTCCCGGTGCCGAACACGCACTGCCAGGACTTCTCCCAGGAGGCAATAGAGGGCAGCAGGTACCAGTACAGGCTAAAGAGGTGTGGGGAGCACCTGGCCTTTGACGTCGAAGTATGCGCCTGTAACTGGAAAACAGAATTCTCTTGTCCTCTTAGTGAGTCTTGTCTCATTTGTTTGGTTTGATAATGAAACTTTTAATAAGCCAATTGATTATGAACTCATTTCATAGCAAATAGTAATATGTATAGGCCTATATTTATCCGCACCGGTTTGTATCTTAACGTACGAGTATATGTTATTTCTAATTAATAAATTTATCCATTTACTTAGGCCTATTTATCTATTTCTGACAAAGGCTTAATAATAATCTTATCCATTTATTCAACTATCCTTTTGTTGGGCCAGGGAATTATATCCGATATAATTCCCTGGTTTGGCATAGGCCTATATTATGTTATCCGTCTATAAAAATAAAATCAATTAGTTTAATTTTCTCGCTCACTTATTTATTTATATATGTTGGCCGTTTGGTTGATGTACAGAAATCAGTTCATTTTTCAGCTTTCAACTACACGTCTACGCCCAAATACATCTCATGTGTGGCGAAGTGTATGGGCCTCACTACCGTGGAGGTGCAGAACATATTCAGTGACTGCGGCACCAGTGCTGGCTGCTGGGCAGGACATGGGGGCAGCTACTGCTACTTTATCTGTCACATTCGACCAGAGCAACCAGGTGCATCCTCTCCACCCTCTCTCTCTCTTTCTCTCTCTCTCTCTCAGAATATCATGTCAGTGAGTGAGTGTTCACTTCATTATTATTATTATTATTATTATTATTATTATTATTATTATTATTATTATGTAGGTGACCAGTGCGTACCTGACTCCGGTCAAGTGTGGAGCGCATGTGGCTCCGCCTGTACCAAGACATGCCGCGACCCCAACCCACCTTGCCGTAATAAGCAGTGTGTAGCAAGATGTCAGTGCTCGCCAAGCAGACCGCTTTCCTTGGGTGGACAGTGTGTCAGCGCAGCCCAGTGCCCCTCACGTAAGCGCCAGTCATCTAACTAAAAATACTAACGAATCTTTGGATATAGGCCTACCTGTGTAACAACCTGCTACATGCGCTTGTAATTTTTATTTATTTATTTTTATTTTATTTATTTATTATTATTATTATTTTTTATCTTTTATTTTTTATTTTATTTTTTATTTTTTTGGTACAATTATCATTGGCATGTAAACAAAATACCTTATACTTAGGCCTAATGGTACTTTTCAAGTATTTATTCAGATAAGTAAAATAGCTAACTAAAATAAATCAGTACCTTTATTATTATAAAAAAATGTTTAAATATTAAATATTTCTTTTTTATTTTTCACAGTCGCGGCGACTAATTGTACAGTGTTTGGCAACAACTACCAGGTGATTGCAAATACCCAATGCAAGCAGTTTGTCCAAGGCCCTCCAGGTGTCCCCAAAACCAAGACGTGCATACCCGGCAGCACATTCGACCCACTGAGGTGCGGCTGCGTACGTGAAGGCACATTTCCTTGTCCTAATTAGAATCATAAAACCAAATATCGCACACCTGATTCAAAATCCTTCAATACTGCGCATGTGAAGATGAATTATAAGTTTGTATCTAAGAAAAATGATACAAACGATGATAAAAGAAAATAGGCCCTAAATAAAATTAAATGATCTCTACACCAGTAAATGACATTCCCCCTGTACCGGTATTTATTTATTTCACGCTACCTATATTATGTACACTAATGTTTGGCCTATGGAAAACATATCCTATATTATTTAATAATAAATGCAAAATGACACCCTGTGTCTTTCTAACTTCAAGGGCACGAAGTTCTCGCTTGACGTCATTCTATTTGGCTTTAGGCCTCCATTGTTTTAACCACTAGTACCATACCAAAACCCTATTTAAAGGTGCATTTCGCAAGCTGATATATTACAAGTCTAAAATATTCAGAAAAATAAAACTGAATCAATTCGAAATTGTATTCAGTCTTTTTAAACATATGTGTTCAGTTGATCTATGTGAGTTTTTAGTGAAATCAGTCTTAGAAGACATTTCCTGAATGTCTTAAAATACTCTGTGGAAAGTATTTCCTTAACTTGTTTACCGTTTTGAACTTAATGGAGACACGTAGAAGTTCGTGGAATAAACACACCTTTGTTTAACATGACGTGTCATCCTGTTTACTATTCGTACAGCATCCAAATAACATTAAGGGGTGAAATCTTTTTCAAACCAATAAATTGTGTTGTGGACAAGCTAGTTTCAACTAAAAAACAAACTTAACCTTGGCGTCAAAAGACAAAAATGGCAAGAATAAAAGCAAACTATAGATTTATCCCAAAATATGAATCGTTGAGAAAATTTTGATCTGTTGCCAAATGATTTTTTGTCTTTCTTTAAGGTGAATTTACGAAGTAACAGCAGAGGGGCAATGGGAAATGAAAATAGCTGCTACTAGGTATAGATTTAAAGCAGCAGTGTATATGTTTTTTTTGGCTTAATTCTACTTTTCATCTTTCGCATTTCCCGTGCAATTTTATCCGAAAGAAGGTGTTGATACGGATTTTATTTAAGACAGAAATACAGAGGATAAAATGCATACGCGCAATCATTATCCTACTGCTAGTGTCGCATTTTTAAGAACCGGTGTTTTAAAAAAATGTATTCCAGTGCAGTATCGGAGTTAAAAAGCGGGTATCTGTACGAACAAATTGTTGTTGTCCTAAATAAAGCCAAGAGAGGGGTTTGTTTCTAACATTCCATAATACGTCTTCTAAATAATACGCACAATATTATCTCTTTAATTCAAATTGCAATGCATGTCCAAAAATAATTAATGCAACAAAACAATTTGGACAAAGCAGTAAAAAAATCAGAAAAAATAGGCACTATTGTATCAGTTGTATCCAGGGGGATGTTGCTAAATTTGGGAAACCGCGATTTAGTCAAATAATTTATGATTTACAAAATAAGACTATGTGACCAGCCTGCAAATATACAAGGTCGTCTAAGGCTTCCATCACTCCTGTTCCGGACCAGACTGGTTATAGCGTGTGCACGTGACGACTGGAAAATTTACCGTTCATAATTTGTATATATATGCAATCCAACTCTCGATCAAAGTCAAGGCTGGGAGTGGGGGATGTGAGGGGGGGGGGAGGGGAGGTTGGTGCCCCTCTGTCCACCACCAGGATCTGCCAGTTATAAACGTTCATGTTCTACCCAAACACTCTTGGTGCAATGCTAAGATAAGATTTGTGAGTCCCTACTGATGATTATATCCTAGGGTGTATTTCGCGTCAGTTGCGATCACTAGGACGCGCTTACAAGAGAGCAGAGCAACTGGTAACATTGCCCCCCCTCTCTCTCTCTCTCTCTCTTTCTCTCTCTCTCTCCCCCCGTGCCAATCATATAAACACGTTTATTATACGAGTTATTCAAAATTGTCTCCACCCATGGTGTATCCACCAAGGTGATACCAGGCGAGTACCAGTATGTATGCCTGTCAGAAAAAAACAGCGATGTGCAAGTTACGAGTTAATACAACTCTTCAGTGTATTATTTATCATTTTAAATGCAAAATCTTCGTGAGCTTCTGACTGTTAAATTTATGTATTTCCTGGTGTTGCGCTGCTGGAAAGACATAAAAATGCGCCACAAGTAGAACAGATTCATTCGTCGACGACAGAAGACGGTTTAAGCGTCTGAGGATACTGATGATGGCACGTGTATTTCTGTTAGCAGTGGTGTTAGTGGTGCAGATTGTGGGCTACACAGGTAAGACGCAACGCACACGTTTTAACTAAGCGATGAGTTACCAAACAAGATGGCGCATAGTTTTTATGTCTTGTTCACTGAACTTTTTTTAAAATTTTGTTATTATTATTATTATTTTTGGAATGAGAGAGAAAGATGTCTGTAAAAATGAGAGGCCTAACTGTCTGTCGACGCATGGATAAAAGTAAAACACTACAGGCAACATTGTATTTTTCCAGTTGCGCAAAAAAGTTCCTGCGAGGAATTGGGAACAGTTTTCTACCCGGTGCCTGCCACACGGTGCGAGGAGTTCTCCCAGGAAGCAAAGTTCGGTGCCCCTAGTCAGTACAGAATAAAGAAATGCAAGCCGGATCTTGCCTTTGACGTCCACGAGTGCGCTTGCAACTGGAAGTATGCATTCACCTGCCCAAACAGTGAGTGATTCGAATTAAAAAAAAAAACAAACTTTTTCTGACAATTCATTTTTTTCTTTCATTTCTTATGCAACTGGTATTGTTCAACAATATTCTTTGTCATGGTGATCACGTCACTCTTTTAGTTAATATAATGCTTATAATTATATTAATGACATGGCGTTTTGCTCCTCTTCTCTTAAAAATATGTACGTGGCAATTTGATTCCTTAGCTAGCAAACACTTCATTAACCTTATTTTCGATAATCCAGTGCAGATCTCTTTTAGAATAACAAAGATAAAAAATCTGGCAAATGTACAGACCTGTATTTGTACAATTCTGTTTTACACAATTTACATATACAAACACATTACGAGTAGGCCTATAGCCAAAAACCTGGAATATCAGAATTACCCTAACCAAATTGATGCATAGATAACATACTCGTGGTTAAAGCGCTATAGATATTTTAACACAAATTCCCAATAAGGCCAAGGATATGAATAACATTACGTTCACTTAAGATATTATTCTTCTTGTATTTCAGCCCTCAATTACCCAGAAACACCCAAGTTTATAGCGTGCATGGCGGACTGTATGTATAAAACAAGCCAAGAAATTCAGGACATCTTCAGCCAATGTGGTACCAATTTCGGATGCTGGGATAGCAGAGGGGGAGGGAGATGTCATTCTCGTTGTAACATAGAACCAGAGGAACCAGGTGCGTACAGGGTGGATATCCGCTTATCTAGCTTGTTCGTTTATATACTCGGTCTCACCCTCTCACCACTCTACATTTTCTAACTCTACACCTCGATCCCCTCTCCCATCTCTCTCTCCCTGTCTCAAAACATGATTACAATTTATGGCGGCTGATCCAGGAATGTTCTAGGGGAGGGTGGCAGAAAAGTCTGGGTGGGAAATGCAAAATTTAAAGGGAGAGACAGGTGAAGGACCTACTTGTAGTCACCCAATGGTTATCGTATAGAGACAACAAGTGCAGAACTCTGGTAAAATGACATATGCATACATTGTACGACCGCATATATTGTAAAGACTTAAGCCCGCATTGTGCCAAAGTGCACAGGCATGAGCCAGGAATTTTGAAAAAAAAAAAAAATAATAAAATAAATCAATCACTATTTGTTATGGGGCCAACACAATTTGGTCGGGGGTCTGGGGGACGCATTTGGAACTGAAATAATTATTCATGGAAAAAGCACATGCCTGAGAGTACAACGGAAATATAACATTTACAGTGTATTATATGTTGTCTTTTCTTGATTATTTCAGTCACAGGCCTAAACGAGCACTAGTTTTTCCACAGCCCACCAGATGTCTTCGAAATCAAGATAAGCCTTCCTAGCAACAGCTTTCAAACCCTCTAGCGTGCCTGTGCATGAAAACTGCATACCACCACGTTTCAGTTGGAAAAAGAAAGAACTATACACTACTCTTCTGAACTGAATGGATTGTAGAAAAAAAACTTATCCTGACTGACTCTACTTTTCAGCTATTTTCAAAAATTCAAAAATTTGCACAAAAAATAAATGATCAAATTTCTTGATTTTCTTGTTTTATCTATTATTGAAACATGTACTTTGTGGTACTCCTCAAGACAACAAAGCCATGCATATCACTAATGAATAAATATCGACTGAGCAAAAAAAATAAATAAAAATAGAAAATAAATAAATAAATAAAAACATTTTTGAATATAAAATCTCATGATTCAGAAATAGTTAATATAGCTCGAGATATTCAAATTTTCAAAACTTAAGACTAGGATTAGTGAATGGTTTGCTAAAGCTATTTAACAGGAAGTATTAAAACAGGTACAGACTAAAACAAGTTGAATTTTTTAAAATAAAAATGACACAATGTCATGTTCTTCATAAACATAGTACAGTACCCAGAGCTTCACTGCATTCTTCAGCATTGTCAAGCGTTAGATTTGTAGTAGTGCTCTGCCATTTAATATCAATGGTGTATTATTTGGCTCCTCTTCCCTCAGAGTTAGTTACACCTTCCTCCTTGTCATGAATGAATTTATAAAAATGCCACAGATCACATCAATACGATTGATCAGTTAGATCACCGTCTTGTGGCAGAAGACTTTTTCTGCTTTGTCTCTTAAATGAAAATCTGATGAAATCCACTTCTATATCAACAGATTTCTTTTTGTGGTTCCTGTAACACAGTGGCAGATCGTATACCAGTTTAGCTACCACCTTCATCGTCAAGCCCCAATCCTCTGCCTTCTTCTCAATGTGCTGAAAAAAGTCAAACAGATTCTCATAAAACATTATTTATGCAAGTGAGAGAGAGAGAGAGAGACAAAAAGAGCTAGATGAAGGCAAATTTTAGAGTTTCAAATTTATCTTTGATGTGCCCTTGCTTGGTTAACACACCTTTAGATGTCACTGTGCCTTTCTGAAGCCAATACATGAGCACAACAGATGAATGATTCAAGTTAATCATATATTATAGATATCCATGTGTTTCTACTTACTTAACAATACCAGATCCAGATGCATCAAAGCACAGGCATGCCTACCCCCCCCCCCCCCCAAACCTTCAAAACCTTTACTTGTCATCCCCAAAGAAATACATTAAGAAGTAATGGTTAAAATATGTGTATAAGCAAGCACAAACAGACAAAAACAATAATTTTTGTCTGTCTTCAATTCTACATGAGATAATACATGTCATTCATTTTACATTGTAAAGCTTGGTACAAAAAGGTGCTTTAAGTAAATCTTACCTCACGTGTTGAAGTTTTGTGCAAAGAGTAAACAGCATCTGTAGCAAGAGAAAGACCTGTCTTCAAAAACAGCATGTCAACACCTAAAAATACATTAATAACACAAAATAAAAATAACAAATTTACTGAAGTTACACTTTTTGTAAGCCTCAGTATAAAATATATCAGAGTAATAAACATCCAGGACCCCGTATCATGAAAGCATCGTGCATTGCAACCGTGCGCAAGCATCTCGCTTCCGTAACTCACCCATACTCGCCCCATTTAATACATTGTAGCTTCTATGTGATATCGCTATTTGCTTTTGAAATACGGGGCCCAGGGTAATAGTATTTACTTGTTTATAAAGTCATGTCTTTACAACAAATATGTGTGTGTTGTGGGTAGGGGGGGTTTGGTTAGAGATAGAGGCTTGGAGATTGTTAGATTTAGCATTGTATTCAATGACATTTGTTTTTGTACTTGTTTGTGTGTGTATGTGTGCGAATTGTTACATACCTTCATTGTTGGTACCAAATGGTGGATTCATAATAACCACATCAAACCGCTTGCTCCACCTGGCGTCAGTCAATAATTGAGGCACATCGCACTGCACCAAGTCAACGTTAGTGATCTTCATGTCATCAAGATTCTGCAAACATGTCTGCAATGCATCTTCATCAATATCAAAGCCAACACAGTATCTGAAAAAAAAAAAGCATATATAAAAGTACTTAATATATTGCATAGCCAATTACCAGAGTGAACTTTTGAAATATGTATTTCTTATAATGCAAGAGCAGCAAAAAGTATTATTAGTAAATATATTCAAAATTCAATCGCTATTTTTATTTTATTATTATATGAGATCTACTCTTCTATACTGAAAGCAGATCAATTAGTTTGGAGAGCCACACATTAATAATCAGTTAATTCAGAGCCGTATATAATATAATATAATATAATATAATATAATATAATATAATATAATATAATATAATATAATATAATATAATATAATATAATATAATATAATATAGGTAGGAAGTTACCTGAGTTTTATATATATATTTTTTATTCATTAATTTTTAGGAAAGGATTCATAGCTTTGTGACATTACTTTGCAACATGATGTAGACAATCTGACTTTGGGAAATTTCCAAACACATACAGTGTACCTTTAATTAAGGTTGTCCCTTTAAAATGTCCAGTTCTCAGTGAGCCTTAAATAATATTCAGACATACCCACATTTCATGAGTACACTCCCAATACTCAACACACCACAGCCGCACCCCAGGTCAGCTATACACTTCCCTGTTATATCCCCATAGGTTGACTCAATGGTGAAAAGCATAGAGGCTGAAATCAGATATTCAAGCATTACTTTGAATAACACAACGTTATCTTTATCTGTCATTCTTTGCTAGTGGTTACAAAATGTTGAATTTGACCGAATATTTCAAACTTTCTCTGGGAAGCTGTAATTTTGCAATGTGATAGCTACACGATCACAGTTTATTATTTCATAAAAAGGGAAACAGCTGATGCCCTTGTCAAGGCACAAAGGAGGCTTGAACAGCTATACCCACCAAATCCAAGAGTGGTACACTGGGAGATATATTTGGCACAAACTAATGAAAGTCCCTAATGAAAGTAATGACAGAATGACACAACTGATTTATAAAAAAAAATCAATTGTGTCAATTTTGTCATCTTTGAGTTGTTTATTTTCTCCATGAGCAAGTTGATTGATGGAATGAGCGGCATTTTAGAGTCGTCTGATAAAAATCAATCTCTGAAGTTTCAGCATTACTAACGTTACAAGGGACACGGTGAGGAAAAATCGACCCTGTTAAGCATGAAATGTGAAATTCTTAAGAAAACTGATATTAGCATGAACTTCGTGACACAAACTAACCGGCAGACTACTTTGCATGCACTGAAGAGTTTTAATACAGAAAGGTAGGATTAGATGAAGTTTTCATTGGGCTGGGACACGGCATGTAACTTTAGATATAGTAATTTTGTGATAATTTTCAAGTGACTTCAAATAACTTTAAATAACCATTTGCACATTCTGTTTATTATATCTTCTTGCAGTAGGTGTGTTTCCTGCTTCAATAATAAATTCAAACCCTAAGCAAACTGTTCCTAAAAAGAGGTAGGGTCAGAATTCCACAAAAATGGACGCCATTTTGATGGTAATTTCGATATATTTTCTGCATGTTCTCTTTTTGCTTTTATAACAGCACCCTCCTAGCTCATGCAGCTTCTTCAATTTGTTATTGAGACATACAAAACGATGTCATGAGAATTTGGTTGGCCATCTAAATTTAAATTACATTCTTGTAATGCCCCCTCCCCCACAGTGCACCACTAGCAAAGAATGACAGTTATAAAATATTACATTAATAATAATCAGAATAATATTTATTGCACAGGGTACAATTTAGTAACAACTCTAATATCAACAATTAAAGTGTCTTATTAAAAGTTGTCTGTGTAGTATAAGAGTGTGATGTAAAAGGTATACATAAAACATTACAAACGATGGTAAACATACCCAATCTGAGGAATCTGAGAGAGAGAGAGAGAGAGAGAGAGAGAGAGAGAGAGAGAGAGAGAGAGAGAGAGAGATTTACCTGCAATTTCAGGGCCAGTAGGGTATTGTTCCAATCGTAACTTGGGATTCTGAAACACATCGACATCACCAAGGATGCTCTCCAGCTTTTTTCTCTTCATTCGAAACATCTTCGTTTTCAGTCATTCATGAAGATTACATTCACGGTCCCATTGTTTCTTCCTCCGCTGTTTCTCTCCCACAACTTCAGTTATTCCCTGTCACACAACTTCAGTTATTTCCTGTCACTCTTGAAACGGGGCGTAAACGAATATAAACATGAACCCCGCAAATCAGTGATTGTGCTCTGTGTGGTGTTGTCTCAGGGGTGTTGTCTCAAGGGCGCTGCCATGTTGCTTCTCGTGATCTCGCGGATTTTCCCGCTTGCAACTTATCAAAATTTAAGGTTATATGAATCATTCAGCGAATCATTACATTGTGAAGTAATTAACAAAGTAATTACTCAAATTCAAGCGATACTTTTCGGTAAATGTTGCCTATATAATATGAAACTTTGTAAATTTCAAGAAAATTTATATTTTCTTGTAAAGCGCCCTCTAGGACAGAAATAGAAAATATCTAAACATGTCTGCGCCCATGGAGAAGACGGTGTTCTGGTAAAGCCTAACAAATATTTTGAGTAAGTCTTGCATTTGATACTATTTACACATTTCTACATCCATGTTCACGTGATTTTGCTTGGAGTGGCTGAAATGATTTGGGAGGAACTGTACGCGTGCGCGTGTGTTTGTCAATGCATGGTTGTTGGAGTACAGTACTGTATGAGATGCAGGAAGGGGGGGGGGGGGGTCTCCATCGCTATCTTCATGTGCTTTGTTTTTATAGACCAGCAAACCACCGCTAAATACTGTTATTGAAGAACGATTTGTATTGTGACCAATGTTAAAGCCAAATGTGAATAA